GCTTGTGCGAGTCTTAACAGTTCTATCAGTAAAGAAGGAAGGGGAAGTAGTCATGTATGGATAGAATTTGGTAGGGGAAAAGTCCTTCGTTTGACTTGTTCGTAAGTTTTAGAATCAAAGAACTTTCAACCTTTTTTTTCTTTTGGGTTTCTACTATTTTTATCTTTACAATAACAAACAAAAATTCATAGAAAGAAGCTACTCTTACCAAAATTAAGGATGGTGTTACCCCCTCAAATCCGAAATCTCAGGTCAGATCACCACGTACACAACCATGTATGCAGCGGTCAGCGTGGATAGTCACACAAGGGCTATGGAGGCTATTGAGGTTGGTCGGGGTGCCTTAAATTTGGGGATGGCAACGAGGATGACAAAGTAACTCGGGGGCAGCCAAAATTCGATCCTACGTGGAATGAAGCCACGTGGTATGACATGTGAGCAAATTGTCAAACACACCAGTCAAAAGAAGATCCAATAGGCCAAACACACCAGTAAAGAGGAACAGGCCGATGCCCTCACACTTCTCCAAAGGATGAAGCTGCGTAATGTGGGTGAGGACCTCGGATCTCTCAGAAGCTGCCTCCAACTCATCCGAAACTCATGAAGTCAACGCTGCCTCTCGAGACAGATTTGGAGATCTATCAGAAGTGATTGACGGAACACTTGTAATAAAAGTTTGTCAGTGTGCCACCTATTGTATAGGGCGGCTGACCCTTTCTCAATGTATTAATTGTATGAATAGACAGTGATGTGAAATCTTAGTTAGAGAGATGAGGCCACGTGGTTCTGATCCAACGGTCATCACGTCGGCCAATTCATTATAATTAGGTCTTTTTTGTAATGAAACGAGGGGTTGGGTCATTGAGAGAAGGAGGACAATCATATATTTAAAATATACACTTTAACTCTTGAGGAAAAAATATGAACATTTTATTTATCCTTCCACATATTCCTACTTTGTTATTACATAGACTAGTTTAGTTTTCATCAGGCAATCGTTG